TATAGCTGATGTTAAAATTACTGAAGAAATATGTGGAATGTTCCAGTTTAAGGGTTATAACTTTGCATTGTAAAAAAGATACTTCTTGAACAGTCATCCAGCTTTGAATTCAAAGGCTGAAGGCCTCATAGTGTACATGTTGGTGAATTTTCCAGAGTGATTTTGTTTTCTTCATTACTGGGGCTGTGAGATCAGGAGGATTTGAGTTAATTCTCTTCAGGTTGTATTTAGTTTCATGTATAGTTTTCATCCCATTGATTATAGGACTGGACAGTCCATTAGGAAGAATAGCCACACCAAAATAAGTATACCTTTTCTTGCGGAATCCAGTGTTACTGTTCAGCTGTATATGGATAACTAAAGATGTCTTTTTTTTTTTTTTTTAGAAATAATTCTGTGTTTGATTTGGTTGTTGAAATCTGGGAAACATTGCACAGAAGGGAGGTGACTCTAGTAAGGGAATTCAGACCCAGTGAGATAAATGTGGTGATCTCACTGCACGCAGCTGTGTTGGCTTTTCCTGCCTATTTGCTAAACTAACAACTTACTGAGTTCCCTACTAGGACTCTGATTTTTTGGAAGGCAAAGGATGCCAGTAGATAGGAGCTTCTCAGAACAGGGCAAGAAAGAAGGATTTCTTCATTGATGTAATTTCTCAACTAACAAACTGAACATTGTATATTAACTGTTTGCCTACTCCATCTTGTATATTCAGTGAATAGCTCCATAGAGACACAAAAAATACTTCAGATTTTTTGCACATGTAATTGCAAAAAATTGGCCTAATTATTATGTTGGGTTTACAAGCCCCAAAGAGTTTACTCTTCACTGTATTTGTCATCCTTAGTTCAGTTCCAAAAGGTAGATTGATACAAAATACTTCTAAATGTTTCTGGTGATACTAGTTCAGCATCATAAAACACAGCTCTCATATTTAGAGTAAACAGTTTGCAAATAATCCTTTGGCTGAAAAGGGAAAAACTCTATGGTAAATGCTACTAAAATTAATAGAAAAGTAAACTAAAAATAAATCCCCTTTAAGATTTCAGATCTAGTGTCTCATTAATCCCATTTGGCACTGGGAAAGGTGCTAGAACAAACAATATTCTCTGTCACTTTAAAATACTATTCCTTATTTAAACACAACAAATAAAATATTAATTTCCACTGTCTCCTTGGGATTTCTAAATGCCAAATCATAAAGACTTTCTTGCAGCTACAGAAAAGAAAGATTTCAAATTACATAAAATTAGTATGTTTGATAAGCCTTTAGCTCTCTATGCTTATATTAAGCATTTGAGGTTTCAAATTTCTCCACTAGCAATTACACTCCTGGCACTGCTATTCTACAAACTTCAGTTGCTCAGATTGCAGGCAGAACAAGCTCTGCAAATACTGGTCATTTGATTTGCTGTTAGGTGGTAAAACAGGGGGATCTGGTCATTGAGAAATGTCCTTCTGTGGGGAAAATATCATCTGTGAAGTGGAAGTGAAGGTGATGGCCTGCCATGCTTCAAATAGTGCATTTGTCCCAACAACATTTCTTTTAAACTAATCTTGCCATTACTGCCATGTGCAGTTAAACAAATCTCTCCTGAAGGATGTGATCTTCCAGGCTGGGCTGTGGCAGCTGGAGCAAAGACCATGCAGGTCTGTGCACGTGGTCTGAGGTAAGGGAGCTGAGCAAACAATCTTTTGGCACCACACATTTATTATCTTTTACTGCTCTGTGTGTCAATATCATCTCACTGGCTGAGAAGTAGCACTCCTGTGAAACTAGTTTGTGATGCAGTATAAAGAAATATGAAGTACAAACTTAATTGTGGAAGCAAGTCCAGATAGATAAAGAAAATCTCAAAGTGCTTCTGTATACTTCTGAATGGAGAAGCCTTTGTTGGCACACAAATGGTTAAGTCACACTGCCTCATTTAATATTATGAAATATATTGAATTCTGTTAACTGACAAATTTAATTAAATTTGCAGTAAAGCTTGCATGAGAGTCATGGTTTTATTTTGGAATAAAATAGCATCATTTCCCAGGATATAATGAATTATTAATATCTTTATAATGAAATATTAACATTAAAAACCCTAGTTAGCTGTCAAGTTGAAAGAACAAAAAGTCAGGTGATGTGTATATTCAAAATAAATTAGAATTGGGATCATTCTAGCCTTTAGTTACTCAGTACATGTGTTTACAGTTACAATTTCAAATGCTCTAACCCTGTAGAGTCATATCATAAATACATCTTCAACATCAGTCAGAATATCAAGAATAGAATGCTGTATTTTTTATGGTTAATATGGTGAATATTGTCATATTCTAGAAAATGGAAGAATATAATCTTTGTTCTTCAAACCCAAATTATTTGAAGTATGCAAATCAGACTCTCTGGAGTAGGTTTAATTTTTTTAATTTTTTTAATTTTTTTTTCTTTCCCCTATGTCTTTACTTTGGTGGGGATAAATGCTCGAGTATATTCTAACTTCTCTTTCAATTGTAGGAACAGCAATGTTCAACCAGAAATTGAATATACTTATTTAAATAGAATAACTTTGGGTTTGATGCTCTGACATAATAGAATATTTCTAAATATTCTAAAAAGGACCTGTAATGCCCGTTAAGTTCAACTGCCTGACCACTGCAGGGCTGACCAAAAGTGTTTTCTGTGGTTTTGATTCTGAGAAGACTCAAGAAACTATGAGAACTCTTATTAGGTATGTTACCTGCTACACCTTCCATTCCAGATCTTACTAGTGAAAGAACTTCAGAAATATAAAGCAAAATTTTCTTGCAAGTCCGAACAGAATAATAGTACTAAACAGAGTTGTGTGATGTTGTGGCAACGATGTCGAAATTAGGATGGAATAAATAGTGTAAGAGAATCAAATGTTGTAAAACATGTTTTTGCTCTCCCCCCACCTCTGTCCCACTTGTCTTTTTTAAAAGGATGCTTAATACATGAACTTCAATTTACCTAATATCAGAAAAAGTAATTGATGCTAGAGCAAATTTAAGCCTGGTAATCTGCATAAAAGAGGAAAAAGTGCTAAAAAAGCAATATATTATATGCAAGCCTTTTTCCTTTAATGATTTGTTAAATGAGGAGACATGCTTTTCCTCAGCTCTTAAACCATCTGAAGGCTATCAGTAAATATGCTCTGGAGTGAAAAGAAAGCAAAGATGGAAAATATATTTCTGGTGATTACAACCTGAATGATGACATTTCATGCTTTGTGCTTTAGCAATAAGAGATACAGCAACCACTGCAACTTTGGACTGTTTGTGACAGCATTTGTAAGTGTCACAAGCCTTTGTGACTACAAGTTCAAATACTGTTGTGAAAAGTTACTCTGCAATAGCTTTTACTTTTATTCAGAAAACAAAGAGGAAAAGGCAAAAGAAGAAATGGGGATCAAAACTTGACCAAAACCAGGCAAGGATTGATGGTTCCTTCAAGTCTCTTTCTAGCCAGAATCTTTCATAGTACAGTACAGTACAGTACACCAGAGGTCAATAATGTAATTCTGGATCCTGGATTTATTAAAGATTGCGAAGATAAAGGGAAACAATTGGAAAACTAATCTGAAGTTCTTTTGGCTCATAAAACAATCCTGAGAAGAAACAAAGACACTAGTTGTACCTGAGTAGAGCTATCCAAGTCCTTGTGGAATTTACCCTGTACATATGTAAATGAGTGTGACAGCCAGCCTAAACCCATTTGGGCAGATTATTCAACTAAACATCTTTCAGGTGACTGGCTTTGTCTGGGCAATCAACATCTACCGCTGGATAAGACCGAATCAGCAAGTCCCGTTTGGGAATGTGCGAGTTGTGTGCTCTTTTCTCCCAGCCACCTCTAGCTGGCACTCGTGTCGGTGCTTTGGACACTCCTTGTCCCCGGCTTGTGCCACGGGGGCTTTGGGCTTCGGTTCGAGTGTTCTCTGTAGTGTGTGTCCCCACACTGCTCTGCACCAGGACCCCTTTGAAACCCCCTTCGACTCTGTCAGGTGAACCAGACACGCTAAGCTGCTGAGTGCAACATCACTTGTAATTACACGGTTATCTTGCACTTTGCATTTGAGATTTTCCCTGTGGTTTTGCACTTTTAAAACTCTTAGGTCACCCAGAGAAGAATAAGAATGCAACTTTCTTTTTTTTTTCTTTCTTCTTTTTACAGTCAGTCCCCATTCCTAATTAAGGCTGTTATCATCGTGTTTATTGGAAATGGTCAATAACATTTCTCAGCTTGCAAGGTTCAATTTTCTAGGAAGCTCTTTGTTGACTTGCTACTCCCTCAGCTCTCCAGAGTCATTCTGTGAACCTGCTAATGGCTGTAAATGTACACATCTGCGCTCACGTTCGGGCTAATGATGCACATGTTCATTTTGCATAAGCTTCCTTTCAGCTGAAGTCTCGGAATGGTACTGGGGTTAGAAGTTAATTTCTCCATGAAGACATTTTCATATGCAAATTGCTCTCTGAACTATTTAAATGCAGAAAAAAGATTAATATTACCATACCGTTTATTTTATTAGGTTTGTAATACTCTTACCGTTTAAGAGTTTAAACACAATTTGGTTCATAGACATTGCATTAACTTTCTTATACCTGCCTAATCCATAATCCGCAAAATTCATCAAGGTCCAACAAAACAAGGGCGGTGCCTGTTAATTGGTGTTAAAAGTGTATACACGAACTCATCAATTACAAATGAATAGTGTTGTATTTAATCATGCCCGTTGAATAACCCCGAGCAGAAGGATATTTTGTTTGTATTACCGATTGTTATTTGCACATCGCTATTTCTTTTTGCCCCTGAGTGAACAGAGACGGCCAAGTCCGTTCCCTTTGAATCGTACTTAGAAGCGGCCCCAGGGAACTTGGAAGGGATGAGCGCCGGCAGCGCGGGACGAGGCGGCCGCTCCGCGCCACCTGTGCGCGGTGCGGGCGCTGCGGGGCGGGCAGCGGGGCCGGGGGCGGGCCGCGGTAGGTGCGCGGGGCCGGGCAGCCGCGGGGCGGAGGGGGCTCCGTGCTCTGCCTTCGGAGCCTCGGGCAGGGGGGCCGCGGCTCGGGGCTGGCCGGCAGCGCTGGCGCGGGCGCAGCACAGCAGAAACTGGAGCCGAGGAGCCCTAAAGCGAAGGCAGGTGGCCCTGCTGGCGGAGCCGGGGCCGCCGCCTGCCCCTCGGTGCCTGCGGAGCGGGGCCGCCCGAGGTTCCCCTGGGCGCCCCGGCCCTTTCTCCGGCCGGGGTCGGGCACCGCTCCTCTGCACCGGGTGCGGACCCGTTCCCCGCGGTGCCCGCCGCCCTCAGGGCCGCTCTCCGCGCAGGGTGTCGGTGCCGGGCAGCCCAGCAGCCCTCGGGACGTGCGCTCGGCGCTCCTCGGCTGCGGAAGGGTTAACGCTCCTCAGCAGCAGCGGGGAAGCCGCTCGTATCCACCTACCCCTCAGCTGCTCTGTGTAATTACTCATGGTTTGGATTTTTTTCTTGCTTGGGTCCGCTGAATTGTGCTGCTTTGGAAATGCTTTTCTGCGGTTCAGATATTGCAAGGCAAACAAAAATCGCTCGCTCATGTTTCTGTTGTCGCGTTTGAACACGCTGTGTAAATTGCAGGTTTAAAATGCTCGAATTACATATTTCCGTGCAAAGTGGATTTTTGTGCTGATATACGATCAGACAGCCTTCTCTCTGCCCATTTGTTTAGTTCATGTGTTAAGTATTCTTTCCGTGCTGCATCTCCACTTTTCTCTATTGATTTTTGTTAATTGTTTTGTCGATTAGTTAGTTGTAACAAGCCTCAACTTTTCTGATTCTTTCTTTCCCATGGCTTCATCTGTTTGAGACTTCGGGTTTCCAGAGACACAAAAGTTTTAAAAATGCTTGACTGCTTGACTTGATCAGGTGATGCTTTGCAGCTCGTATTTTCTCATATTTTAGTTGTACCTTTTGCTGGGAAATATCCTTGAGATAATATTGCATTATTGGTTTGAGGGCACTTTTGGTATTGTCAAGGCAAAAATTTGGCAAACATTGACATTTCTTTACTCGTGAATCAGATATGAATCATTCTTGTCTCCTGTGAAATGTGTATTTTGCAAATTGCTAGTCTGGGCAAGTAAATTTCAAACTACAGGTTGCTTGGAAAATGATTGTGTTCACTAATGCTGGCATGTGACTCTGTTTTTGTTTTTTCTCTGCCAAGGGGATGGAAACATACCTTGCATTACACAGACAAGTGAGATGTGGACTTTGTCTTAATATTGTCTAGATAAACAGGTTTATTTTAATAAAGTTTGTCTTATCACCAAAAAAGCTTAAAGAGCAGTTTCCCACATCTCTATGAGATGTATTATGCAGGATTATGCAACACATTGGAATTGCCTAAATACTTTGTTTCTTAATGGCTAGGTTGTCTCTTCTCCAAGAATCTTCAGATTTGATTGATTATAATTTAAAGCAGTATTCACTATGCAATAATTTATGTCATGCTTTTTTTTTTTAGGTAAATCTTTAACCTTTTCTGTGTATTATTTTTGGTTTTTCATGATATTTCTCTGGTGCTTTAAAGTACAAAGTGAGTAGCAGAGATCTAACATACAGGTTTCCTTATATGTAGGAATATAGCTGGCTCATCTCTGCTCTTTTCTAGTTTTGGCTTTTAAGTTATTTTTAAAATATCAATGTCATCAGGAGCATGGCCATTAAACTTTCCAGTAAGAGAAAATGGTCAGATGTTTTTTTCTCCCACCTGATGCAGTGTATCTCAGTTCTGACTAGTTGTATGCTCTCATAATTGGTGTCCTCCATTATCATTAAGAACAGAACAGCATACCTTTGTCTTTAACTGCAGAGCTTTCCTTGAGTTCCTTGTATCCCTCACTGCATCAGTGGCACAATTAATACTCTGTGTGGTTGATTTAGATTACAGTCCAAGGGATGCAAGGTAAAAAGGTAACAGCTACATCTCAGTAATGGCCAACTCGCCATGCTGAGTCCTTGTTTGTGCTGCCTTGCCACCCATCTTGTGAAGAACTAGCAGCTGGTACAGTTCCCTGGTTGAGAAACCCAGACTGTGTGTGGGTTAAAACCATATTGTGAGTGGGCTAAATGCATCATGTTTATAGAGTCCATAATTTTCAGCTATCTCAAGTCTGGCATCAGCTAGTGAAGATGAGAAATGGTATCTAAGTGTGTTACAAACCTCTCAAGATGTTTTGCTCTGCAAGGCTTCTGTCGCCCCTGAAGCAGTGACTTTTCCAGTCAGTGAGTTTCCAAGGTGGCATCAGCTGTAAGGTCATGGCTTGTGGATTCTCCTGCTCTGACACTTGGCTCTGGTAGTACGCTTTCTTCATGCAGCTTTTAACCCAGGTGCTGCACTGAGGCTTTGTGCAGTATGCTAACAGAATCAATTTTGAATTGTTGAAGCCCCGTTAAAGGCTGTCTTTGCAACATCATCAGCTTCCTCTTTGGAAGCTGGAAAACCAAAAAGATATTAGGAACTAAACTATAGAATTATAAGGATTCATGTGGTGGTGGCAGTTTTCTAACATAATCTTTGCCATCTAAAAGTTTTGTTTATCTAAGACAATCACTTAAACTCACTCCACAGGTCAGCTAGGAAAGGACAACTTTCAAAAGGCAATTCTTGGCCAGTTTGTCTGAATTATTGGTTGCATTACCAAAAAAAAAAAAAAGCATTCAACTGCAAAACCAGATTATTTCGTCCTCAGATGTCTTAGTACATTTCTTTGGAGTCCATCATGACAGATGTTTTCTTACAGGATTGTGAATTTTGCTAATGGATGTAATAACTTCACAAGTGGTTAACCTCAAGGAAGGAATGCCTGTCATTTTATGTGTTGGGTATGAGCATGTGTTGTCTTCAAGACTATGGCTGTAATTATGACCACAAGAATTTGAGTCCTAGGAAATTAGAAGCCTTACTACTCAGCTTGTACATCTGGAAACTTCAGGGATTAAATCTTTGCTCCTTGTAGGTGGTGAAAGGTTTACCAGGACCTTAAACAGGGTCAGAAATCCATCTACAGGTGTCTGTGTGGGTAAGACTGCTTCCCAGGAAGGGATTATGTATCCCCTATTGACTTCTGCCATCAATTTTCACTGTCTTCTAAATGTTCAAATAAGGTGAATGGTGTGAAACGTCCAATTTTTTTCAAAACTGAAAAGGGAGTACAATTTCAGAAATTGTCATTGAAAAAATTTAAAAGACGCAGTCCTGTGGCAATACCAGGGAACACACAACAGTGTTCCAGATTTCTCCTCTTTTCTGAAAAAAATGTAGATGAAAATACATGAACACATTATTTAGGGCAGGAATGCACTTTTAAAATTAATGTCCTGATCACCTGCATTTCTGCATCTGAAAAAGGTGCACACAAACTGATTCTGTTTGGGATAAAACTGAGCAGAAGGAAGAGCTCATTTAATGTACTCCCAAGTGCAAATGCAAATTCAGTCTACAGGATCATTTTAGAGATAATTGTAAGTAAAAACCACGAAAAAGGTAGTGTGAAAGTTGTGCCCTTAATGCTAAGTATTTCACTGTACCACTCAGCTCCTACTGGTAAGGTTTTATGCTGTTTACTTGTGTAAACTTAGGATATAGTCTCTTGACCAACTTGACAACCCATTTTTAAATTTAGCATAATCATTATTATATATTGACAGAAAAACAATACAAGAAAAAGAATAAACATCGTAGAACAATGCTGAAAGAGTTAATAGCAGACATCAGTGCTAGAACAATGAGTCCCTTAGATAAACATAGAAACAAACAGTGCTTTACAAAAAGGAAGTAATCTTAAAAGAAATAGGTTATGGAATGTATAGCTTTCTTATATATCAGTTCTATAGAGATACAGTTTCTGAAGAGAAACAGTAAAATCAAAGAGCTTTTGCTCTCATAAATCCCGAAAATTCTTCAATAGGTGCTTTTTTGACAGGAAGTATTTCCCATAATACTGAAAATATTTTTCAGCAGTTATATATTAAGGTTTGTCAATCACCTGCAGTGAAACGTCTAGAAATGTGTGTAAAGACTTCCTTGAAGTTTACACCCTTAGGTGTGAAAAAGACATCCAAGTCTAAGTTGGTTACCATACTCTTCTTGGAGGGGGATTCACCTCATTAGAAAATAGATCAGGCAAAGGACCCTCTGGAGATGTTGTGCTCCTTCTATGACTATAAGCAGAGCATCAGGTGACTACTGGATGTCTGGAGTTAAAGGAGGTGTGATTCATCTTGCTTTATTAAGGTAACTGAAATAAATGTCTCAGCACAACTCCTTCAGTTTGAAACAGAGGGCAGAACTGACCAGTGTGCTTCAGGATCCTACAGAGGTGCTACACTGATATTCAAAGAGCAGACAGTGTGCTCCAGAGCTGAGATTCAAAGTGGAGCTTCTGGTCCAAGGGCCAGCAGACCTGCCTGGTGAGCTAGAGAGAAAGGATGTCTTTTTGCTGAGCTGTTTCTTAATTCATTATTCTCTTTTAGACCAAGTTTTAGTTGGCATTTATAGACATGAATATTTATAGAAACCAGTTCTCTCTGTGGGCTCTTGGGTTTGCCAGCTGGGACATGAAATGAAAGATTTTTTCTTCAATTTACTTTTGAAATAGGGGGTAGCTATACGATACAATAATTTTGCTATCTGAATCAGGGGCCTCTGCTGAACAGAAGGTACTATTTTGCAGAACTTCATGGTGGTTTTGTGGTTGTGTGGGTGATGGAAATGCATGAAGAAAACATCTACTAAGCAATTTTGAAGAGAAAAGTATTACTAGCTGCAAAGCTGAAATTAGAGCTGGTCAAGCTCTGCAGCACAAGGCCTGTTTATTTTCCAACAGAGCAGTTTCAATTGAATAGCTGTAAAGAATTTGGCCTATGAAGTTTAATGATTAGTTGCTGTTTAGTTGCCAGCTGCTCCTAAATGACAGAAACTTGCCAACAGAAATGCTCCTTTCTCTCTGGTCCTTGCTAGGTTGTTTCAAGTTCACCACAGCTCAAGTATTTACCTGGCTAAAGCTTATATTCTATATATAAAAATTATACATGGTGGAAGCATTAGGTGCGTGCTCCAAATTTATCCTAAATTATCCAGTACATGAGTTTAGCATGAGGATGAGATCTCAGTTGATAGGTGCATGGATTACTTTGGGGGCATTCACAGCCAGAATCTCAAGTGTCACTAAAGAGTATAAAACTGAGGTAGAATAAGTTTGGCAGATCTGGGCTTTCCTCTCCTAAATAACACATCTCTGACCTCTGCAATTTAATTGTCCAGTCTCTCTGAATGGAGGCATCTATATTAGTTTACCACTACATGCAGGCTCAGAACTTGACACCAGCATTCAACTCTTTTTTTCCCAGAAAAGTTTGCAGATTCTCCCTGTATCTGGTCCAGGCTATTGATGTGAATGTGCTTGGAGCTGATCAATAA